GTTCTCAAATTTCAGTGAGCATCAAAACCACTTGGAGGGCTTGTTAGAACCAGATTGCTGGCCTCCACCCCCAGAGTTTCTGATTCTGTGGGTCAGAGGTGGGATCTGAACATTTACATTTCCAGCTACAGTCTCTGGCCTTTCTGATGCTTCTGGTCCAGGAACCATACTCTGAGAACACTGCCCTAAAGAATCATCTCAAAGCTTAAGCCAACTCCAGAAGCTCTTCGAGTATTAATATCCTTGGGGTGCTGCTGCTGTGGGCCCTAGCTCTCCCCTCCTCTTTTTAGATGACCATAAATAGACCGTGTGGAGAGATGTGAACATCTCCTGTATAATGGTGACAGTACCTGATGAATTATAGATTCCTTGATCCCTGAGAGTTTCAGAGGGTCTCTAGATATTGTGTGTAGGAGAACCAATTGAGGTTTGAGGTCAGAAAACTCAGGTTCTGATTTCAGCTCTGCCATTTAATCAGACCTAACTAAAGACCAGTGTCCTCACCTGAATACAAGTAAAATAGCAACCATATACAGCTACACTGTGGTTTTAACTCCAACAAATAGCTTGGCACTCGGGATGCATGGAAAAATATTTAGTTAAATCTCAATCTCCTTGACTCTGGGGTTCCATATCTGTATTTCAAATGCAAAGATATTGTAAGAAAAATCAGGAAATTAACATGGGCACGTTTTGCAAAAATGGAAAATAGTAGCATGAAAGCAGTTAAAGACAGGTAATTATTCTGTTAACTTTGTGAATTTGATCAATGCTATTACTGTTATTATCTTAGTTTTCACTCATATTTACCTCTTTTTCACTAATTCTTTATCTTATTCCCTTCCTCCATAAATCCCAATTTCATAAACTTTTTTCTCCAAAGAAAATGCGAATTGAGAGAATGTTTGCTTTTTATTTTTTTAATTGTATGAGGGTTTAATTGTCTAAATTGTTTTCAAATTATCATAGCAACTGGATTTTTTTTTCCCCCTCAAGATAATAGGAGACTTGAATGTTGACTCCAGTGGTTTCCACTTCTGTTTAATTCAGGTCAGGATTTATGGAGACCTCATGTGGTGACAAGAGGCACCACAGAAGGCTTTATTCAGGATGGGCATAACGCAGTCAAAGAGAAATTCAGATCTCATTTGTGAGCAACATAATCCAGGAAAATGAAGACCTAGAAGTTAATGGTACTGAAGCATGCAAGGCCTCCAAAAAACACACTATAATAATACTGAAGGATACCATAATAATAGCTTTAGAAATGAGAAACCTGGTCAGTCATGTATAAATTTCCCTTTATTAACTGAAAAGGTGATAACACAGAGAAATTAATGTGCCATATTGCTCAGGAATTAGTTGCAGTCTTCCTTTTCTTCTTCATGAAATCCTTGGACATAACTTATTTAAATGTTCCTCAAATTTAAAAATGTGTTCCAAAAGGCATGTTGCTACAAATGTTATTTTCAGTTCTTTTCTTGACTTTACACAGAATGGAAAGTGAACCAGACAAATAATCAAACTTGTACTCATGTTTATGACTTTCATTGGTGCAACAATATAAATAGCATTATTTGCAAATATTGGAATGCAAGATATATTTTTGCAATTAAAATACAGAACAATGATTCTAGGTGGTAGATAAAGTTGAACATAAATACATCTTGTTGCTGACAAGGTATCAGAGTTATAAAATTAAATTAATTTTAGTAGTAAACTACTACTTACTACTAATTTTAGTAGTAAACATATTTCAACCACCTAATTTACTGGTACAGACTAAAGAAAATTCACTGGGTTTAGGGTAGGGTGGTGGAAGAATCCTTGGTCATTCAAGGCACTTATTCTTTAACTCATTATCTTTACAAGAAAATGTGAGTATGCCTTCCACTTTTTCCTTCTTAAAGAAGTTACATAACAGGCCTTTAAGCTAAAATCTAGAAGGACAAATGAGTTAATAAATGTTAAATGTTTTCAAGTCTTTAAAAGAACAGAGCAACATAAATCTATGGCATTAAAATGAGTAATCCAAAGAGTTCCAGTTTTGTTATCTAATAGGTCCCCTGTCTTTGGAAATGTCCTCAGAATAGCTTAGGATTTCCAGACCCGGCAAAATGAATAGGTAGAGATAGTCTCATTAAAAGACATTTTGGAAAATGTAAGTAGGAAAAAAAGTTAATAGGGATATTGGTGAAATTTCAGATTGAGTACATTCTTATGTTAAGAAAAAAGGGGTCAGTTTTCAGGGTGCCGACTATGTGGTAGGCATATTGTTAGATGTTGGAAATACAAAAGTGAATTGGACAGATCCTCTTGCTTTCAAGGGGATGACAGATAATGACACAAATAATTATCACACTATGAGATTGGCATTAAGCTGGGGGCTTGCACTACTTCCTGTGAAAGCTTAGTAAGATGGAATGGGACAAGGAAGGACGAGATGAGGTGCTTTAAAATCAAGCAAAGGAGCTGACACCTCTAGTAATCATTACTCAACAGTCACATTGGTTTTTGCTGGGAGAGTAGTGGGGAGCAGGCGAGTTGTAGCAGTTGCCAGACACACATCACACTAAAAAGACAAGAGGAAACGAGGAAATTCTCTTTCAAAACATAGTGGGGGGAAAAAAAATCCAGATCTTCCCCTAAATAAAGGAAACCTTCTGGTTACAATGTGCGTTGCTAGGGATTCAGTTTTCCCTCCTAAGAGAGTAAAATCAGACAGACACATTCAAGCCCTTAGGGTTTTGCGAGCATATTGTATATCCAAGACATCAACTGAGCCTGGTGTTAAGTGTGTGACTATAAAGAAAGGGTTAAACGGAAGGGGGTGGCTCAGAGATGGGAAGGCTGGCGAGAAGGCTGGAAAACTTGCAAAAACTCTGAACTTTTAAGCTCCCAAAAATACACATGTGTGTGTCTGCGAGCGCAGGCAGATCTATTTCGGTAGATTTTTTTTTTTTTTTTTTTTTTTATCGCAATCTCTCGGTCTCTCTTGCTGCGCTGCAAACACACTGAGCAGCCCCTCAGGATCGTGGCAAAAGCTGCAGCAAAGGCACTGGCAGCGCTATTTATTTATGAGTCGCGTTCAAAGCCGCCCTCTCCCCATTCCTCCGCTGCGAACAACCAGCTCAGAGGCTGGGGCACCTCCCGGGCCCTGGAGCTGGGGGCGGGAGCCCGGGAACCTCCTTCCTCCGGCAAACTTTGTCGGGTCGTGGGAGCGAGGGAGCGAAGGCGCGAGCCAGGGCGCGCGGGAACGCGCCGCCCGCCGCCGCCTCCGCCTCCGCCTGGCGCTGGCAGCCGGGGCCTCACCTCTCCCCGGCGAGGTGCGGGCGCCCCGCGCGCAGCCAGTGGGCGGTGCCGGGAGGCGCGGGGCGGGGCCGAGGGGTGGGGGCTCCGCTGGGTATATAACGCCGGCGCCGGCTTAACTTCTGACTTGGGGTTATTTATTTGGGGAGCGCGCGGACGGCGGAGGCTGGCAGCAGCGGTGGTGGCGGCGGTAGCTGCCGCAGACGGTGGTTAAAAAAGGCGGCGGCGGCGGCAGCGGCAGCGGCGAGCGATGGGAGCGCCGTGGCTCCCGGGCGCAGGCGGGAGCTGCCGAGCTTTCCGAGCACGGCGGGAGTGCTGAAGAGAAAGGGGAGCGTCCGGGGGCCCGCAGCCGGCTCCAGAGGCGCGGGTCGGGTTTTTGTTTGGCTGCGCCCAGGGCCAGGCAGCCCGAGCGAACAACTCCAGTTACAACAACAACCCACCTTCCCGCAGCCGAGCGAGACTAGGGCTGCTGCGTCCGTCCTATTGTTTAGACACTTGCCAGGAGCTCGGGAGCCAGCAGAGCCACCGAGTCCCCGCTGCCTGTCGCCGCTTTCCCTCTCCGCCACTTCCCTCCCTGGAGAAGGAGGCGCGGAAAGCAGCCAGGAGAGGGGAAGGGGCTGGAAGGAGACTGGCTGCTCTGGACTGCGGCCGCCGAGTCAGGTGCAGCACCGGTAGCCGGGCGGCGTCGCGACGTCGACGGGAAGACTGCCACCGTGGCCGTGGGGGACGGGATTCAAAGCCTGGGAAAAGTTCCTGCACTTTGAGAAGGAGGGCCCAGTTGCGGGCGGCTGTCGGGGGGGGGCGGCCGAGGGGCTGCGTCCGCCTAGGAGCCTGCTCTGGTTTCGTCCACCTTTGCCATCAGGTGTCTGCTGCGGAGCTGCGGCGTATCCGGAAGACGCGAGGGGCTGACACACGCGCGCACACAGGACTGCCATTCAGCCGCCTCCTGGGCTCTCCTCGGAGTAGCGGATCCCACCGGCCCACTGCCACCTCGTCATCCCCCAGGACTCCCGGGCAGGACCCAAGACGCGGACACCTCCACCTTGGCCTTTGCACTCCTTCTGGCCTGCCTGCTAGCCAGCCCCGACTCAATCCTCTGAGGAGCTCTGGTCCTCAACTTGGCCTCTTGGATTTCCTCTATCGAGGTGGTGACTAGTGGATATTGCTGCCGGCTGCGGCGGCCCCATTGCCCTTTTGTCTTTTCTGCGTGACCTCGGGGAAGGCCCTGGTGCGGAGCGTCGCCAAGGACGCTGGGCAGGAGGCGGGATTGCCGAGACGTCTTTCGGTGAAGTGCATGTGTGTTTGCAAACCGCCCTCGGCTGTCGGGAGACGGCGAGGATCTGTCCGGGTTGCGGAAGAGCCGCAGGCTGTCGGGAGGCCGCGCGAGTGAGCGGCGCCAGAGCCCCGCAGCACCGCCCCGCGCCCCCCGGGCTGCGCCCCCGCCCCGTGCGCCCCCGCGCGCCATGCCCAGTAGTCCGGCGCGCTCCGCTCCCCGCCCGCTGGGCTCTTGCGCCTTCTAGCTTCGGAGAGCCCACTTTGATCGAGGCCACCATTTCTACTGAGCACCTCTCTTGTCTCCTAGCCTCCCCACTGGAATCGGATTTGCAGAGGGTGTCAGTGGAATCGGAGCACTCCCTTTTCCGCGCAACCGGCCCCTGCATCCTCAGCTCTTTTACCGCCAAGTTGATCTGAGACAGACGACGCGTGATCTCCTCACCGCAGCTTTGGGGTCTCCTTGTAGCCTTGGCCTGGCCGATTGATCTTCAGGACCTAAAGTTGCCGGAGGAGCGCCTGCCCTGCTGGAGGAGGGTGGAGGGGAGGTGGGAGACGCGTACCTGTGTCAGCTCTACTGCCCTGAATATTATTACTGTTACTTCCATATTATTTTGTGTACATTTACCCGGACACGCTGGGTTCCTAGCCCCGCGCCAGATACTGGGCCTCAGACACAGCGCGATTCGCGCGGAGAAACGAGCTAAAGAGGAACCCCCCGCGCCGGCGAGCGAGGAGGCGGCGGGGGAAGATGAGTGGCGTGGGTTGGCAGACGCTGTCCCTGTCGCTGGGGTTAGTGCTGGTGATCCTGAACGAGGTGGCGCCGCAGGCGTGCCCGGCGCAGTGCTCCTGCTCGGGCAGCACAGTGGACTGTCACGGGCTGGCGCTGCGCAGCGTGCCCAGGAATATACCCCGCAACACCGAGAGACTGTGAGTATGGGATCTTCCACCCCACCCCACCCCCACACTGGGTCGCGCGCATCCCCTTCGTGGAGACTGGCGGGATCAAGCGGCACAGGGACATGTGCCTGGGTAGCTCTCTTGCACGCGCATCCTGGGCTAGAACTCCCTGGGAGGGCGAAGGACTGGAGGGCGCTGCACAGGGAGGGGCCGCTGCCCAAGGAGGGGCGGGCCAGCTGGCAGCTGTGCTTGGTCCCTTCTTCCCACACTTGCATCCCAGGGCAGGATACTTCTCTGGGGCTTGGAGAGCCAGGGACGTGGGGACAAGTACTCGCTAGTGCCCCGGGCAAGGGAGACGCGACTTTGTTCCCCAGACTGTGTAAACGGAGTCACCTTGCGGTTGCCAACACTAGCGGGTCGATTTCAGGGCCAAATCCCAGCTTTTGTCGCCGCGGGGTGGCGCGTGGGGAGATTGGCGGGGGGGACTCAGAAGGGAGAAACCTCCGCTCCCCGCCTTAGTGTCACCCTCCTGGGGACGGAGGAGTGAGGAGAAGGGATCATGGGGAGTCTGGGTCCGCCCGGAGGCGCTTCTGCAGGCCTCCAGAGGGAAGGATGCCCCAGGACCTAGGCAGCTCGCTCGGTCGCCGCACGCCGCCCCCGCGACTCTTCCCCCGCCCCCCACGTCTCCAGGGAGGAGGCGGCGGCGGCCCGCCCCAGGAGACTTGTCCGAACCGGTGACTGAAGAGGAGGACCTTTTTCCCCCCGTGTAGGCTAAGTTAGGGCTGGCTCTCTAACCCGAACCAGACAAGCGGGGTCCGACTGCTAGGCGACCCTGCGGCCCTCCGCTGCCCACCCCCGGGCCCTTCCTGCTGAGCCCTAGGGCTCCCGTACACCTTTCTGGCAGTTTCTGCGCCCATTCACGTGGCCTTAGTTCTCCTTCCTTCCCTTCTTCGCGCTCTGCTGCCCGCAGACATCCCCGCCTCCCTGTCTCTGCGAATCTCTAATGAAGAAGTAATCGCAGACCCGGTGTTGACGGCCCACGCGCTCCTTGTGGGGCACTTCCCGAGTTCAGGGAAGTGGAGCATGGAGGCCATTCCCTTTGTGAACGCCGAGGCCGCCGCCCCGCGCTGCCCGAGCGCCCTGGGCGCGCTCCACTCGCCCTTGCGCGTGGGCCCGGCGTGCGCGGGGCGAGGGCGGCGGGGGCAAGTGCGCCCCGACTCTGCTTCCGCGGCCTCTGCGCCCCCCGGGTGTGAGGGTTGTGCGCCGCGGAGGGGACCCGTTGGGCCCGCACGTCTTCACCCGCGCGGCCCGCAGTGCCTCGAGTCGCTCTTCTCATCTAACCCAATTCGTTTTCCCTCAGCTTGAAGGCCACAGTTGAGCCCTTTCTTCCTTTGCAAACGTCTCCCCCACCCCCAACCTCTCTGGCCTGCCCCCCACTTCAACTCCCTCTAGCGCTGGGCTAGTTGGGGCCCTACCAAGGGTGTCTTGTCAAAATGTGATCTACCACATTTGTCTGGGGCTGTGGGTAGGGATTCATGTTATGTCAAATAGCCCATAAAAGACCCCAACAATTGTAGGAACAACTTGGTGGTACTTTGCTAGGCGTGGAGAGTGGGTTGGGGAAAAAGCAATGCACAATTCTCTGTTAGCACTTGGCTTTTCGTGCTAAGAACAGTTAAAAGTTTAGGCACTAACATGTCTTACTCAACAAAAAGGGAATGCACTCAGAACAAAATAGTAATTGAGTTTTGGGTCCTTGAAAAAAAAATATCCCTATGAGGGATCAATACAGTTTTCAGAAAATGGTATACTCAGTACTGGCTTATAGAATTCTATCATTGACAAAATGAGCACTTTGCATACAAATTTCCAAGATGGTGTTTTCTACTCAGAGGTAAAAGAAAACTTACTTCCGTGAAGGCGAACTTTCAAACCGCAACACAGCCTGGTTTTACTTGAAATGATTGGAACCAGGGCAAGTATAGATCTTGACCTAAGATGCCAGAAAAGGGGGTGGTGACTTGAAGGAAACGTGGTGCTGAAATCCGAACAAAAATGTCAGGGCCTGAATCTATTTCCATTATCGCCCCCGCTAGTAGTTTTGACTTTACCATCACAGCGGGGTTCCTTGAGCTGCAAATGAAGAGTTTAGTTTTCATACAAACATAGAATTGTTGGAAGGTAAATGCCTGTAAATGCAAGTCTTTGAAGTGCAGTTCTTTTGATGGCACTATAAGTTTTTTCTTTGCCTTAGGAAGTTTAGCCACCCTGCCACCTAAGGATAGGGTTCTGAATTTTTAAAAATTTCTTCCTGGGTAGTATTAGAAAATTGTTCTTCTTAACTTCCTGAAGGGAACTTTTTCGGGGCATGCCTAACAATAATAGTTAACTTAGCAGAATACCTGTAAAATTAATATACACATTCTCATAAAAAAAAAATTGAGAGCACTCCCCTACAGACACAAAAGAGGACTTCTGAACATAATCACTTCGTGTTCTTGTCAGATGCCAGTAAGCAAGGACTCTGTAAACTTGTTAAGAATCATTTATATATATATATACATATATATATATATTTCAAAGCTTACTACTTTCTTCTCTCTTTTACTTTGCAAACTACTTCAGTAACTGGAACTGATCTTTGACTTTAAAGTTCTTATTAAATTTTTATTTTTCTTTGTTTAACTAGATCTTGATAGAAATAAAATGGAACTTCCATTTTCTTGTTTTCTCTTAGGGATTTGAATGGAAATAACATCACACGGATTACCAAGACAGATTTTGCTGGTCTTCGACACCTAAGAGTTCTGTAAGTATGTTCTTCTGTATTTTGAAGAATTTTCTTTTGTTCTTAAGGTTGAATATTTTGTATTGTTACTGGTCTCAGATTGAAAAAGTGTCCCAATGACAGAAACATAAAATTTTAAAAGGTTTTGGTTTTGTTTCTTTTTTTTTGGTTTATCATTGTATTACAGCTTTTGATGAAAATGTAGGCTTTTATTTTAAGGTTGGATGCTTGCCATTGAAACAATATTATAGAAATGACCTCAAATGTTTGCTATACCATACCCTAAGTGCCTTATGCATATAAATGTGTAGAATAATTGCTTTCACAAAATGAATAAGTAATGTGAGACATTTGATACACTTTAAGGATTTGAGATTAAGAAAGAATTTAAGTGGGTCTGCATTTAACTTTTCTAGCAAACAACACTTAGATGTAATTTCTAACATTAAAATCAAGCAATCCAACTTTCTTGCAGTTTTTGATGTTTCTCTATAAAAATACACTGGTCATATTTTGAATTGTAAATTGTATTTTACATTTCTGTAGTTTTTATAATATTGTTGCAATATGATTACTTTAATTAGTGGGTAAAATTTGTTGTGAGGGAACCATCACTGGAGATTCAATGTAATGTAAAACTGTTTTTACCCACAGATTTGTAAATATTTACATTGCAATGAACATATACTTTTGATCACTGTGTGTTGGGTGTTGATCTTTTAAAGGACACATTTTGGCTATTATGAAATCTTCCAATTTCTGATGTATATCCATAAGTGAATTAAAGTATGTGTATGGTGACATGCTGTATATTGATTATTTCAGTTAAGAACTCACTCCAAAATCAGTTTACCAAAAATAGCTATCAAAACTGCAGTGTCATGGGTTGCTCCTCAGGATAACTGTAGTGGGAGGTTCAGAGTTTTGACTAGTAAATTTTGTGAGAAACTACATTAGTATTTTCTACTGAAGTTTTGTGATGTGGATGCTGTTTGCCCTCTGTGATTTCTCTCAAATATATCATCATTAAATTTGCTATTAAATTTCAAACCAGAGCATTGCTTAATTTTATAAAGGGAAAGTGGTTACAAGTTTTCAGTTGCTGAACTGAAACTCACTCAGATGGGGAGTGGTAACATTAAGACCCTATTATACTTTGCATTTCAGTCAGCTTATGGAGAATAAGATTAGCACCATTGAAAGAGGAGCATTCCAGGATCTTAAAGAACTGGAGAGACTGTAAGTATTTTTAATTCCAAAGTTATGACGACATAACTGTATTTTTAAAAAATACTTGAATTTCAAGGGCCATGTCTTCAATTTCATGTCTTAGTCTTTGAACGTTTTACAGAAACAAGAGGTCAAACAAGTGGCTTTCAGACTAATTTACAATTAGAAATTGTGGAATTTTGCACAAATGGTACTAAATTTTAATAAAGATTAAAAAAAAAAAACAGACTTCCTTTCCTGAGACATTGATTTCCTTGTGACTAGCCATTGCTTTGTTTGGTACTTAGAGAGGTACATGTTTTCCTTATGGTCTATCTAGTTTATTTTATTTGCTTTTATAGGAAAAAAGGTAGTGATTTTATTTGCATTTATAGTATATTCTAGAAAAGAAAAGTTTACTAGTATTTATTTTAATTTTCATGCTGTTGCTTTGTGTGTCATTAAGTGACATTTGAGGACATATTTTAAATTCTTAGTGATACAAATTTGCTTTTTGATATTTATCACTTGTGGTGAACATTGTTAGTAACAGCTATTCATAACTTTCATTATTTTATAGTAGCTTTCTAAATATTTCTCCTGGAAAAAGAATTTAAAGATTAGTAGAAATGGAAGCAAGAATTATAGTATCAAAACATGGTCATTTTCACATCGATTATTTTTTCTTCCCAAGAAGATCATGTGGACTTCAGATTTTAAAATATATTTTATTTTTTCAGACACAAAATCTCATGGATTGGAATATACTACTTGAGGGCCATTTTTAATTTATATCTACAGTATACATCTACAAAGGACAAAATTTTTTGTCTGCAATAATTAAATTACACAGTAATTTGAAGTATGAATTACATGTCTCATATGTCTTGATAACTCAAGTTTAATAATTTTGCATTTTAAGGGCAAATAACAGCTCTATTAAAAGTAGCAACAATTTCCATGCCTGCTTTAATAGGCACTTTAGGTAAAAATAAAAATTTTATTTAAAATAATGAAATATGAAGTTCATTTTAGGCATAGCACATACTCAGATTCACTAGGCCCAAGGGCAAAAGTTAATTCTGTGTAATTGTAAGTAGAAAAAAAATGGCTTGTCAACTTCTAAGATATTTGTAAATATATAGGCTCCATTTTTATCACCACAAGTAAAATTAAACCCAGAGGTGTCTATTTTACTGTAAAATTTTGTCCATAAATATTACAATATAGAGAATATATCTGTGGAATTCAAAATAAATGGAAAGTCACTACTTTGAGCTAATTTTCGGAGAGAAGTAAAAACAAGGTAAACATTTGGTTAAGTTCATTACAAAGTTCCTAAGTTCATAACCTATCTCTTAGTTTATAAAAATACTCTGAAAATATACTTTGATCTCTTTCATAGGCTTTTATGAATAGTTAATTCCTAGTGAGTATCTTGTAAAGGTGTTTTTAATTCATCTATTTACAAAGTATCAATATAATTTAAATATTGGGTAAGATGAATAGAAAATTTAAAATTATAATTCAAACATAACATTTTTTTCATGAACAATTTTTAATTATCATATGGAAATATATATACATATATGCATATGTATATATATTCTTTTTTTTTTAAGATTTTATTTACTTATTTGACAGAGAGAGACACAGCAAGAGAGGGAACACAAGCAGGGGGAGTGAGAGAGGGAGAAGCAGGCTTCCTGCCGAGCAGGGAGCCCGATGTGGGACTCAATCCCAGGACCCTGAGATCATGACCTGAGCCGAAGGCAGACACTTAACGACTGAGCCACCCAGGTGCCTTGTATATATATTCTTAAGCAACATCCAACTGAAGGAATTTCAGTGACTTTTCATGCAGTCTCTATTTTGGTTATATTGTAGTCTTAAATATTTTCAGAAATGCTAGAACAGACCAAATTTTCTCATTGTTTTTCAAGTCACTTCAAATATCATTTGAACAAATTACCTTTTTCTAAAAATTATTAACCAGATGGCTTGTGATCTGAAATTTGATTAGCATTGTAAATAGGTACTATTTTTTGACTTTTACTTCTCCTGAGAATGTCACTTCATCTCAGAACAATTTTCAGTTATACTAAGATGAAGTCAGATGTTTCAGAGTGGGAGGAGGATTTGTAATTTTGAATGAAAACTAATATATATGCAGGACTTCTTTAAATCACCCCAGCTGTTGGCCGAAAGCAAATATTTCATATTTGTGAGGAAAAGCTGAGAAAATTCCTTTTGTTTACAACTGCCAAGTCCATCTGATGGAAGCACATTGTTATCTGACAGCCAATTCATCTCCTTGGGACTCTGGAATTCAAAACCATTTCTTAGGAACATTGTGGATACACTTTTCAAATATTTATTTTTTTTTAAATACATTAAATGGTAGGGCAGTTTTGTTAAAGAATGCATTCAAGTTGTCGTGAAATAAACTATTATAAATTTTGTTCAGTATATTATTTAAAAAATAAAAATAAAAAAGCTAACCAGGGGATTCCATAGCAAATTATTATGGCCTGTGGGGATATATTCTTATTTTAATAGGTGGTCATCAACATCACAAAAATTTGCCTTTTTTTCCCAAAAAGTTTCAAGAGACAATGTAAGGAACAGGAAGTGATCAGTGAATTAACTTTTAACTAATCAGATATTGTGCGAGATCATATGATTTTTAATAATTTAGACGTGCATTTTTAAATTCAAGCTCTAAATAATGAAAAGGTGTGTAAATGCAGGCTTATGTTACAAATGCCATTCATATAATATTTATAGTAACTTAATTTTCATTCTTTGTGTGAAGAACAAAAAATAAAAATATTAGTTTTATTTGTGTGTAATTTGTGGTTCTAAGTATTTTTCATTTTAAAATGATAAAATTAAAACAATTCCAAAGTGATATTTTGTGAACATTTCAAAATTATAAGTTTTTTCTTTTTGTTTTATGTTGATAGAGTTTTAGTTTGGTCTAGAGAAAGAAGACAAGTCTGAAAACAGAAGATAAGATCTGTGCCCTTTTAGAAATCCAACTTTTAATCTGTAAGAAAAAGATTAGGCTGTTGTTATTGCTGTTGTTAGGTTGAATTTAATTTTAGCTTAGAATGAGAAAGTCATTATTTGTAAATCAAAGCATTATAGCTACAAAAAGAAAGATTTATTTTTGCACTTCGAAGAATCAGTGAAATCCAGGGTTATCAGTCAAATGTCAAGAAATAGATGGATATTAAAAACCTTCCTCCTAAAAGAAAAAAAACAAAAAAACAAAAAACTTCCTCCTTCCACACTCCCTCCCTCCCTCCCTCCTTTCTATTGTATGGAAAACAGCATCAGATAATAGGATCATCATCAGAATGTGGTTATGATTCACTGTAAAAGGAGTATATCTTAATCACACTTACACACCATGACCACACATTACTTCCTGTTTTGACAGTTTCGTACTATACTCCCAGACCTAACATGTGCAGTGACAGATTTCCATACTCTGTGTTGCCAGTAGTGCCTGCTTATCTGGGAATAAAATGAAGCCTTGAGAAATGTGCCCCATGTAGATGTATTAGGAGGTCTCCCATTTGTTTCATCAAAGTGTTCAACTGAAATCTAATTTAGTTAAGTAACTAGTTAATTCAATGGAAATTCATTAAGGAAAACAAACTACAAATAAACTACAAGAAAGAATTGGAACATTTATGACATGTACTCCTTTATCCTTAAGAGAAGATACCTGAGTATATCTGCAATAAAGTCTCCATGCAAAATTGTTAATTGAAAGTAATTCTTGGCTGGTGCATAATGTCTTTGAGAGTTAAAAAAAAAAATCACATTGGGACCCAGAACATTTGTGGGCTTGTGTAAAATTCTGTTGCTCACTTACAGTTTCTGGGATTATGCTGCAGTCATTAAAGTTCTATTTTATGGCCTTTTAAGGAGACCCAGGCCACTTCACTTTCCACTAGTGAAAATCATCTGCATTTATGGGTTCCTTCCTAACACAAAAGCATGAGTATGAGAAAGTTTTGAAACTGTTTAAGGTTGTCCAAAAAATGTTAGGACATTAAGTCCTAAATGCAGTGAAACGCTTATATGCAAAATAAAATGCTGATATTCCTAAATTATGTTAATGAAAACCAATAGTATACCATAGAAAATCTTGGGTATTAGGCTTTACTTTAACTTTACTACCATCTTATACCCTTACGATAAGGAAATTACAGTAGTGGTACAGGTAGAGGTTTGGACTGGGTTTTCTTTTCATAACAATAACATGTGAGGATGTTCTTTTAAGACAAGTATTGCGTTCAACTCTCCAAGGTTCAGTATGCTTAGATTTGAAATTATATTTTGCCTATGTCATTTGATATGCTTTTTTGTTTAAAAAATGAGTCCTAAAGTATTATGATGAAGCCATGTAGGGAATCCTGGAAAAGAAAGCTGTCCACTAAGACATTTTCAAGTTTCTATCAAGGAGATATAAAAAAAAAATACTCATTTTAGTTTAGAAAAGTCTAAATCCCTTTACATCAGAACCTACATTTGACCAAACACTGCACTTCCAGGAGAGGATCTCTAAAGGACACATTACTTTTTTTTTTTTTTTTAATGTGGTGCTGAATTAGTTCTCCTGTGTGCACACACCATTCATAAGCATGTGACAGCCAGTGGGAGGTGGAGCAATTACGGTGCTCTAGGATTTTTGTTGTAGGTCTCTACACATGAGTTCAAGTAGAGAATATTTTGTGGAACAGGTCTGAAGGAAAGCACCACTTATCCCCTGTTCATCAAGGATGTAGAGAATCCCTCTTCTGACTAATCCTACAAATTTACAGGCAACACATAACACATTCCTTTTCTTAAAGTAAGGGCAAACCAACAGTGCTAATCTCCTTGGAAAAGAATGCAAGCTCATCTCCAAAGAATTGTTCTCCGGCTTCTTTATACTACCAAGTTTAAAATCATAGCAGTTGGGCGCCTGGGTGGCTCAGTTGGTTAAGCGACTGCCTTCGGCTCAGGTCATGATC